ATTGTCATGGGGGATTTCAACCTTCTGTCTGCGGGTGAGGCGTCAGAGGCGGCTCGGGAGTTCATGGCTTCCATGATGACCATGGACCTGACCCAGTTAGTTCAAGGCCCAACTCACATAGGGGGACACACTCTGGACCTGATTTTTGTCTCTGGTCAGTGGTTGAATGATCTTGGTAGAGGGGACCTAGACATCAAACCCTTGTCATGGACAGATCATTCGCTCCTTCACTTAGACTTTCCTACCGTTTTCCCCCGCCGCAGGGAGATGGAACCGACCAAATGGTTCCGTCCCAGGCGCCTGATGGACCCCGAAAGGTTCCTGACGGAGCTTGGACCATTTCCTGAGACTCTGGCACATGACTCGACTGAAGAGCTGGTGGCCACCTGGGAGAGTGCGGCCGCTGGAGCTTTGGACCGCGTCATGCCTTTGCGGCCTCTGACCCGATGCCGATCTCAATTGGCTCCTTGGTTCTCTGAGGAGCTGAGAGAGATGAAGCGTCGGAAAAGACGCCTAGAGAGCATTTGGAGGACTAGTCAATCTGATTCCGACCGGACACAGGTGAGGTCTTATATCAAGACCTATCTAGTGGCGATAAAAGCGGTGAAATCTAACCATTTCTCCGCTCTTATCGCATCTGCAGAGAACCGCCCAGCCGCCCTGTTTAGGGTGACCCACTCCCTTCTTCAGGGGGGAGTGCGGGAAGATCCCTTGCAGGGCCGCGCTGATGATTTTGTGCAATTCCTGCATGATAAAGTCGCTCAGATTCGGGATGGCTTGGACTCCAATTGGATGAGTCCAGGGGAGGAGACGGGCAGGTCTTGAGAATATTATCTGGGAGGAGTTTGATCCTGTGGCTCCCGAGGATGTGGACAGGGTTCTGGGTAGGATTAGTGCCGCCACGTTTATTGGACCCGTGTCCCTCCTGGTTGGTACTGGCCTCCCAGGAGGTTACACGAGGCTGGCTCCAGGGGATTATAACTGCTTCTCTGAGTGAGGGTGCCTTTCCCACCACCTTGAAAGAGGCAGTGGTGAGGCCCCTCCTCAAGAAGCCTTCCCTGGACCCAGCTGAATTAGCTAACTACCGTCCGGTCTCCAACCTTCGTTTTGTGGCGAAGGTTGTTGAGAGTGTGGTTGCACGACAACTGCCCGGGCACCTGGATGAAGCTATCTAGACCCGTGCCAGTTGGGCTTCAGGCAGGGGCACAGCACAGAAACGGCATTGGTCGCGTTGGTGGATGATCTCTGGAGGGCTCGGGACAGGGGTTGCTCCTCTGTCCTAGTCCTATTAGATCTCTCAATGGCTTTTGATACCATCGACCATGGTATCATGCTGCGGCGGTTGAGAGGGTTAGGAATAGGGGGCACCGTTCTGCGGTGGTTCTCCTCCTTCCTCTCCGACCGCTCGCAGTTCGTGTTGGCAGGGGGGCAGAGGTCGACCTCGAGGCGTCTCGCATGGGGAGTGCCACAAGGGTCGGTCCTCTCGCCCCTTCTGTTTAACATTTATGTGAAGCCGCTGGGTGAGATCATCCGTGGTTTTGGAGTGAAGTGTCATCTGTACGCTGATGATACTCAGCTGTACATCTCCACCCCAGACCACCCCAACGATGCCCTTGATGTGATGTCTCACTGCCTGGAGGCCGTGCGGGTCTGGATGGGGAGGAACAGGCTCAGACTCAACCCGTCCAAGACCGAGTGGCTGTGGCTGCCGGCGTCCCGATACAGTCAGCAGGTGCCATCGCTGACAATTGGGGGTGAATCTTCGCCCCCCACAGAGAGGGCTCGCAATCTGGGTGTCCTCCTGGACGCACGGCTATCTTTAGAAGAGCATATGACGGCCGTGGCCAGGGGGGCCTTTTATCAGGTTCGCCTGATCTGCCAGTTGCAGCCCTTTCTGGACCGGGATGCCTTGCGCACGGTCACTCATGCCCTTGTCACCTCCCGGCTGGACTATTGTAATGCTCTCTACATGGGGCTCCCCTTGAAGAGCACTCGGAGGCTCCAACTGGTCCAGAATGCGGCCGCGCAGGTGGTTATGGGCGCAACTCGTTGTGCCCGCATGACACCCCTCCTGCGCGAGCTGCACTGGCTCCCAGCGGTCTTCTGGGTGCGATTCAAGGTGTTGGTTACCACCTTTAAAGCGCTCCATGGCATAGGACCCAGGTACCTTCGAGACCGTCTTCTGCCACCAATAGCCTCTCACCGACCAGTCCGCTCCCACAGAGAGGGTCTCCTCAGGGTGCCATCAGCCAAGTTATGTCGGCTGGCGACACCCAGGGGGAGGGCCTTCTCTGTGGGAGCCCCCAGAATGAACTGCCCCCGGAAATATGTAAGATCTCCGACCTCCGGGTGTTTCGCTGCACATTGAAGACCCTGTTGTTCCGCCAGGCCGGGCTATCAACATAATAATTTTAAATTGGGGTATTTTAAATTTTTGGGGTTTTAAATCAGCCAAATCTATTTAATTATTTTAATTTTTAATCATTGTTGTGTCTTGTGTTTTTAAACTGGCTGTACACCGCCCTGAGTCCTTCGGGAGAAGGGCGGTATAGAAATAAAATTATTATTATTATTATTATTATTATTATTATTATTATTATTATTATTATTATTATTATTATTATTTCCCACTCTCTCTTCTTTCCTTTCTTTCTCCATTCCTCTCGCCTTCCTTCCTTTCTTCCTTTCCTTCTTTCCCTTCTTACTTCCTTCTTGTTCCTGCTTTCCTTTGCTCCCTCCCTCCTCCTTCTTTCCTTCCTTTCTTCCTTCCTTTCCCACTTCCTTCTTTCTCAACAGGCAGCTAAGTGGTTGCTGCCAGGTGGGGGAAGATGCAGTGACTTCGCAAGTGGCCAGCATGATGCACACAATCATGGCAGAGAGAGTGCAAGTCAGAGAGAATCCCTATTGACTTTCTCCCTACAAGCTTCTCAGGCAGCATCCCAGGGTCGCATGATCAAAATTCAAGATGCTTGGGAACTGACTCATATTTACGATGGTTGCAGTTTCCCTGGGTCATGTGATCCCCTTTTGCAACCTTCTGACAAGCAAATTTAATGAAGCCAGATTCATTTACCAACCACGTTATTAACTTAACAACTGCAGTGATTTACTTAACAACAGTGGCAAGAAAAGTCGTAAAATGGGGCAAAACTCACTTAACAATTGTCTCGCTTAAAACAAAAATGTTGGACTCAATTGTGGTCATACATTGAGGACTCTCTGTACATCAACTGGCATATCTAACATACACGTGAGCTCTTTGCAAAGAATTTGAGACTGAGAATATTTTTTTTATCAAAGGTATTTGGAAAAAAGGTATAGCATTACTGTCTTTCTGTTATTGTAGTCTGGCCTTATCCAATGTGATAACCTACACATATATTTGATTAACATCTCCCATAATTTCCAGTTAACATGTCCTTAACATTTATTGATAGCACCAGGTTCCAAAGGCATATGAACATATATGCAGACCTGGAAAACAAATTGAAAACTCCACCACAAGAAAACGATTTGTATTGTCTAACTTTTGTTTGCCTCAACCATTATAGCACCTAGCTGACCTCAGAACGTAAGGGTCAGCCTATTTAGTGTTTTGATGGGACATATTCTGGAATTCCTATGACTATTAGCTAAAATGAGATGCTGGCAAATATGCACTGAAGACAGCAACAGCAAACAAAATGTTTATAAGAAAACTGCATAGATGCAGTCACCAATTAGATGGAGCTTTTTCTGAAATTATTCAAAAATATGCATAGGTTGCTATGAAGATAATCATCATTTCTTCTTTAGAAAAGGATGCTATGGCATAATGTAGATAAATATAGATTTAAATAATATATATAGACATGTAAATTGGGTAAGAAAGAAAAGCACCACTTTCTTCCATTCTAATTCAATCAAAACATCTGCCCGTTACCCCATAAATGTCCTGGTGCTTCTGTTTCCCATATGAAAAAGGAATGGCATTTTAAAGGACAAAATAATAGCTGGCAGCTGTTTGTGAAATGACACATCTGGAAAACTAAATTTTGTTAAATGTGAATAGAACCAATTGTTTTCTAATAGCTTCTACTTAATTTTTTGGAACCATAGAAATAACAAAACTAAAACAAAAAAAAGTCATACTTAGCATGGAAACATCTGGTTTGGGTGAAAAAAATTAGAATGCCCCAATAATTAGCAAAATCTGCACCTGTGTCTGCTCAATTATAATAAAAGAGTAAATGCTTAATATCAAGGCAACATTTGGTGTACCCAAAAGCCTTGAAAATCTTTGAACAACCACTCAGTAATTAGAAATCTTCACTGATTAAGATAAGACTAATATGACATTCTAGCACAAGTATTCCATCTCAAATAGGTTGCAAATATAAGATAATTAATAAAAAACTGAGTCGCCCTGAGTCTCCGGAGAAAGGCGGCATATAAATTGAACTAAATAAATAAATTGAACTAAATAAACTTTTTTTAAACTTTTCTTCATTGTATATAGCAGCTACTATATCATCTTTTTATACTCAAGAGATGGCTCAACCTTCAGCAACTTGATCCAGCATGATCATTACAAACCCAAATCGCCTGATAACTCAAGAGCATTTTCTATATTTTGTTGGGCCTCCAAGTAAAATTCTCCTATATAGTACTAGGCCTGTACAGCAATACATGTTCTGTATTTGCAGCATTAGCTAAAGGCAGATTAATACTATTGAGACAGCAAAAGAAAGAGAATAGAAGGCCCTGAAGACTATGAGTGCTTTTCTACTCAGCCTCAAACAATATCCTTGACCTAACTGAAGCCTGATCCAGAGGTAAATTCCAGTGGATTTATGGGAAATTGCTTCCAGGAAAGCTTGGATTGGAATAGATTACATATTAGATAACTAGCATGAATGACTTGTCTTTCCAGTGTTCGTACTTCATCCATTTCATTCACAATGACTGTAGCTGGACAGATTGTAGGTAATAAATGGGCAACATTTAACAAAATGTAATACCTTTCCGAATCAGAGGACTGACTGTTATGCATATCTACAAATTTCTTTTTCAGGCTTTCACATCTGGTTTTAACCTGCGAGTTATCTTCCTAGGAAAGAAGAGACAGGAAGTTAACACAAGTTAAAAGTTGCAACAAAACATGTTTAATGAAATAATACTATTATCCACAATATGTAATAATTTAATAAATATAAATGCTGCTATCATTATACATTCATCCCTGAGATGGATATAACACACTATTTTTCAGCCAGTGATGTGTATGTATTTTGCAGAATATATATGCTGCTTCGATCACAATGTGAATAAACAATTTGTCCTGTATAACTTGGGTTGAAAAAAACCAAAATACACAAACAAATACATAAAATTGCGTAATAGTATGAATCACATATGTATATTATATGTGTTATGAATAAAACCATTTAAATTTTTTAAATGTTGTAAGCCACTTGGAGTTACCTATGTGTAAATTAGATGGCTATATAAATTTGTTTAATAAATAAATAAACTCAAATTAAAAATAAATTCTGCTGCCAGGGCCCAAAGATCATTTTTTCTTCTTAGGATATTTTAAATCAGGGGTCTCCAACCTTGGCAACTTTAAGACTTGTGGACTTCAACTCCCAGAGTTTCTCCCAATTCTGGGAGTTGAAATCCACAAGTCTTAAAGTTGCCAAGGTTGAAGACACCTGTTTTAAACAGTCAAGACTTAACAAAATTTCTAAACACCATAAGGGAAGGGGCCTTGTTGATGAAAGGTCATTGAAATGGGTTAAAGTAATGGTCCTTTTATAAATATTGTAGTACTGATCATGAACAATTCTTATCTAGATCGTAAGAAATGGAGTTAACAAGAGCTACTTAGTGAATTTTCTACAGTTCTAAATCATGAATCTATGGCATAAAACAAGTCTGGCCCTTATCAAATCTGAACTGTACTTAAATGTAGGATATATATATCCTTAATTAAATTTCTATAATTGGTAATTTTCCAAAAAAAAAATTAAATGCCATGAAAACTAAAAAAAATATTAAGCCAATCTATTTTTGGCCTAAAATATTTTCATGTCTCTGAGCCATAATCATATCTTGGGAGACAAATTTTGTACACTCATCTTATTTCTGAATAATCGTATCTTGCTTCATATTTATTATCTATAGCAAACAAACATTTCAGAGCACATATGAGAAGTACATATCATTACTTCCCGCAAAAAAAGTCTCTTAGGAGGTTAAAGCAAATCAAGTGACATTTTTATCTTCACAACAACATTTTGAAAATACAAAAGGGAATAACTGTGTTATCAGTTTAGTTTCCATACCTCAGACTCATTATAGAAAAATTTTACTGCATGGATAAATTCTTCATTCATGCATCATAATTCAGAATTATAATAATTACTGTTAAGCTGTACAACAGAAGAGTTAAGATAATTATATGATCTATGCTTTTGCTTTATCCACTATTTCATACATTTCAGCCTGCCCAGTCCTACAATATTACATTAAAATACTAATATTAATATTAATAAATCTGAATATATATTTGTAAAGATAGCTAGATAGAAAAAGCAAACAAATTCCATTAAAAAGACCTAATTTAAGATAATACTTAATATCCACAAACTGTAAAATCCACAAAGTTACATTTGAGCTAACTTATGATTCTGACAATTATATAAAAACAAAACAGTTATCTTGGTTATCTTCCTAACTCTAAACAAGCTCTTTTTGATTCCAACATAAATTTTCAAATGTAGATATATGCTATAGTTTTAAACTTTAAAAAGTAACCACTATCCCACATAGAATTACAGTCAGTTTATAATGCTATGTCCCAGACTAAACAATATGAGATTACAATGTGAAGTTCTGCATATTACATTGATTAGTTCCCCAAATGTTGAATGCATTTTATTCTGTATTGTACTTGGTGTCATTTATACCCCAACTTTTCATTCAGACACAGAATGATATTTTCTTCTCTATGGTTGCAGTGTCATTATCTAAAGCAGACATTGGAGAGCCATAAGCTTGGAATGCTATATTTTGGACTCTGTAAGAGAAAAGCAAAAACCTAATTGTTAGGTTTTCTAAACTATCCATGTTTGCCAGTAAGTCGTATTTGATTTGTTGGACTTATTGGGTTTGTTTGATTTATTTTCTTAAAAATCATAATATGATATGTATATATTTTAGTGTACGTTTGCTTAAGCAATGTTTGTCTACAATTCTGTCTAACACACACATTTCCTGCAAATAGTTTTCCCTAGTAGAATCAGTTTTGGGACACTTTTTCATGACCACTTGCACTTCTGAAGGTACTTTTGAAGCTATATTATTTTGATTATCAGTGAATTGCATTAAAAAGTAATAAAAAAATAAGCCATTTTTGTATCAAAATAAAGATGTTGTTTCTTGAAAACATTCAGTGTAAAAGCAAAATTTTGGCTAATTCAGCCAGTAAAAGAAATAAAGAACAGCTGCAGTACTCACCATTATCTAGATGCAGAGTTTGTGCTCTTAGATAACTGTAGCCCTTATCACAAATCACACATATACATATATCTCTCAAAAGGTCATGTTCAGGGAAATCCAGTTTTAAAATATTCACAGGAAAAAAAGCTGCTTAATCATATCACACAGAATCACAACCTACGTAGTTTAAATAGAAAGTATTCAAAGTGAAAGCACAGAAAGGATTCCCTCACATTATTCAAAGTAATAGATCGTGGAAAAAAAACAAAATATTTCTTCCCCCTCATCTGAAGGGACCTTCGTGGGAGAAATAAATGTCCTCTGTGGTGGAAAATAGGTTGATCAAGAATGGGAGCCCACCCAATACGGCCTTAAAGCAGTATATAGTGTTTACAGTAAAATTGAGTAAGTCATCGAATCATTTCAAGAAATGTACACCATGCTTTGTTGTAAAAGATTAGTGATTTCTCTAAATGTTGAATTCTTTCTTTCTTTCACATAGCTTTTTAAGACGTGAATTATTTTTGTTTCCACAAGAATCATGAAGTAACATTTATTTATATAATATAACCATGTGCTTGTATCTTTCAATTTATATTGTTTTTACTTGTTTCCTAGTACGATTTGATAACTAATTATAACCTTGACTATCACTAAGTGCTGTATCTTTTTATTCTTGATGAATGTATTTTATTCTCCTTATGTACACTGAAAGCATATACACCAAAGACAAATTCCTTGTGTGTCCAATCACACTTGGCCAATAAAGAATTCTATTCTATTTTTTACATTGTAGGAGATACCAGCCTCTTCCTTAAGATTGGTTTCTTTTTCTTTCTTTCTTTTTATTTTACAAAAATATGACTTTACAGTGCTTGATAATAACCATGGGCTTGATTAGGGCTGCTAGGAAAGTCCTTATTTACATTCACCAACACTTTTTTTAATCAAATAACTCTCCTAATACCTCCACCAGAAGTTATTAATGGGATAAAGCTTCTTCTCTTTCTTCAGTAATTGGTAGATTTCTATAAGGTGCTATAAAATAGAGCCCCAACAAAATCAGTCAGAAATTTAGTTTTTTATTGGCGATATGTGTTTGAACCTTGTGCTTTGATATGGCCTATATGCTAATCAATAAAGCTAAAAAAATTTTAAAAAATATTGTTTTAGTAATAGTGGATTATTCAACAGTCAGATGCACCTATTAATGTGAAAAGGTATAAAAACCTTTCTGTTTGTATCAATAGGAAGGTAAATCAGAATAAATTTAATATCATTGGATCAGATAAATGATTATGAGGGAATCCTTGTACTATAAGTAAAATAATGCCAATGGGCATATAGTAAGAAGCCATTTCATTTCAGGAAAACACACCAATGTTCCCTTTATAAGTAAATGGATAGGCCGCCTGGAAAAGCCCTGAACTTCAGAGTCTTTAGAACTTTGAAGACTTGGATGATTTGCCAGGCATTTAGTCCAGGAGCTTAGGCTAACTTGTTGGTGATGCATTTTTATTATTGGACTGTGTTATTTGCCCAAACTGCTAGTCATTATTTTTAATTGTTGGGTTTTTACTTGCACTTTCCCTGCATGTCATCCAAAGTCACTGCTGTGAGATATGATCCAATCAATGCAAGTTATTTCACCAAAAATTCTAGAAAAACTGCACACACATTCAGTCTTACATAGTTGTCCATACACGGATATACATATTGGAAGAAAATTAGTACTTTCTAAATAATGTCCTGGCCTGTCTTTACTATACTGGGATATGAACATTTGAATCATTCTTATTCTGGACCTTTGTTTAGGAAAACCAGAGCTCTGCCCACCCATTATTATTACTATTTATTAGTATATGATGAAAACATGACAGAAGAGAAGCAACGAATATGCACAATCAATGTAATTATATACAAAACCTCTACAGGGGTATGGCAGTGGCCTTATAATTACATGTCCAATTCAACTATCCAGGTGATCTATTCTGGGATTCAGGAGCCTGAGTGGCGTAGGAGGCTAATGCCTCCTACTAAGGCAGCATTTAACATCCAGCTGTCTGCAATTACTGCGAGTTCAATTCTCACCAGGCTCAAGGTCGACTCAGCCTTCCATCCTTTCTAAGGTGGGTAAAATGAGGACCCGGTTTGTGGGGCAATAAACTGACTTTGTATAAAATATACAAAAGTATGAAGGCTATTGCTTAACGCATTGTAAGCCGCCCTGAGTCTCCAGAGAAGGGCGGCATATAAAAATAAATAAAAATAAATAAAATAAAAATTGCTTTGTGTAGATCTTCTAGGGAACCAGACAATGCATGTTGTGAGCAAGCTTGCACAATATGTTTAATAGTTTGCATATTAGCACTACTATCACAAGGGGAATCTTTCCATTCCCACTGATATACGACAAAGGCATTTTTTCCAGGATCACACCTCATTCTGTTCAATTTCAACCAGACAGAGTGAGGCAGTTCAGACCAGAGGATTTGGTAGAGGGAACACTAATGGTCAGGCCACAAGAAAGCACCTTGCACTAACCTTGAGCCATGATGGCTCAGTGGTTAGAATGTAATATTGCAGGCTGACTCTGACCTCTGCCAT